GCTCTTCCGTTTCTCCAGCACGCCTCCCCTGGTCTGGGTGGGCTCCAGGCAGGATTGGAGCCCTCTTGGTGCCTGGCCGTCCCGGGCTGTGCACGCCCAGCGCGGTTGGGGCATTTCTCCTGCCCCTGCTTTTGTTCTCATCACCACGGGGCTATTGACGCTCAGGTGAGCTCTGAGACCGTGCTCAGACCCCTCTCAGCTAAAGGAAACTTCCCCCTTGGAGCTCCCATCTGTTCAATGGCAGCTGACTGCTGGGTTTGGTTTTGTCCTTCGTGCTGTGGCAGGTGCGGCTAATGCAGGAGTCTGTCCGGAGGATAATTGAGGCAGAGGAAGCCAGGATGGGTAAGAAGTGCAGCATGCCTGACGTATTGTGACGGCTCTGCGGAGAGGAGGGGGACGTGGGATCCCTGTGGAGTTGGGGGGCTGGGGAGAGGTGCAAGGTGGGCATGGGGGTGGGGGGTTGATACTTATTGACAGCTCAGCATGAGCTCTCCGGTACCACTGGGGAACAGCCCCAGGACAGCGCACTCGAGCCTGAGGGAGGACACTGTTGTACAACGTGAGTGATGGGGAACGGGGCCAGGCGGTTCAGACAATAGTGAGCAAACCCAAGCAGCTTTCCTCATTTCCCTCTGCATGGCAGCTGGGAGGCCACGTGGCAAATAGATCAAGGTGTGAATTGTATCCTCTTGAGCTGAGAAGCCCGTGGCGTCTGGATCGTGCTGCTAGAGCATGAGCTGGAATCTCAATTCTTCCATTCACGTACTAGGCTTTACATTTGCAAAGATAGTGTTCCAATGAACCGAGCATGACATCTTCCTGAGTCTGCAGCCTGCCTGGAGCGGAGTAGCTGAGATGTGGGAGCTGCCACCTTCAGGGGTTAATTCCAGAACTTCATGGCATCTGTTGTGGCAATGCAGCTCTACCTAGGGATGGCCCTGGGTGGGAAATAGGCCAGGCCCTGGGGGAGGGTCACCGCTCATTCTGTGTGGTGTGACGGGGTCGGGTCACCTCAGGGATTCTCCTTAAGTCCTAGTTGAAACGCTTGCTTGGCTCCGGGAGGGGCTTGGCCTAGCATTGTGCATGATTCGGGAACTGTGTGAGGTTTGCCCTCCCTGCTTCTTGAAAACTGTTCCCTCTGGCGGTCTGAGAAGAACGCTAGGGAAGGGGTTGGGCTGATCTCTTGGTCAGTGTCTCTGCAGGTACCTGGAAGAGCCTTTTACCCTGTCTTTGTGCTTGTGTGGAATGCAGGTTTGATTGTCGTGAATGCCTGGTATGGGAAGTTTGTCAATGACAACAGCAGGAAGAATGAGAAGGTGAAGGTCATAGATGTGACTGTGCCCCTGCAGTGCTTAGTGAAGGACTCAAAGCTTATCCTCACAGAGGCCTCCAAGGTATGCAGTGACTTGAAGGATCCATCACCTTGTAGGCGTTGGTCTTTGCTGCAGGCCCTGCACACCACCCCCCCAGGCAGAAGGCAGGTGAACCAACCAAGCAAAATGCCAGTCCAGAACCAGGGCAGCCACAGGAGGAGCTGTTCTCCAGCGCTCTTCAGTGATAGGGTTCTGTTGGATGTTTAAATGCTAACAGAGCTGACTGTCTTCCTGAATGTGGCTGTCCTGGCCCTCCCGGGGCTGGAAGTGGTGTGGGAGGAGTCACATTGGGGTAGTCAGGTGGCCTGTGCTCTGTGTCCCTCCTCGCCAGTCCCCCTTGTGTAGTAACTATTCTCGGGTGAGAAGCAGCTGCACTTGGCTCATGTTGGAGGTGACAAATAACGCCTCAGATCACTAGCTGAAAGATCAGAAGGGAGAATTATTTTCCGGTTCTGCTTGAATGTCCATTACCATGGCTGCTCTGCAGGCACTTCTGCTTGTTTTCCTTGTTGTTTGTGGGAGGGTCTCACTTAGCTGGCAGGGAGAAAACCACTGAATAAAATGGGAAAGTGTCATTCTAAGCCATTTTTTGGGCAGGTGGGATTGAAAGGCCTTTTACCTCCTGTTGATGGTGTCCCATGTGCAGACCAGCTTCAAGTCCTTTCAAAACTCCCTTTCTACTCTACCCTAAAAGCAGTGGCAGGAGAGTGCTCAGTGTGCTGTTTTCATTGTCAAAGGTCGGGCTGCCAGGGTTCTATGACCCATGTGTGGGCGAAGAGAAGAGTTTGAAGGTGCTGTATCAGTTTCGGGGAGTTCTACACCAGGTGATGTCTGCTGACAGTGAGGCCCTTAGGATACCAAAGCAATGTAAGTAGCAAGGATTGTTCTCTCCTTCCGCCAGTCACCAAGCCCCAGAGACCCAGCAGAGAGGAAAGGGTCTCCCCAGCCATTTCGCTATGCTGCACTCCACTCATGTCCAGCATGAGAGATGCCTTGCTCTTAGTAGTTGAGATCTCTCTCCAGGGGCACTGGAGCCTTAGCTCTGAGGAGCTAGCATGCTCTGGATATATGTCTGCTAAATAACTGCACTGGGATTTGGCTGAGGAGTACACATCCCTTCTAAACCAGTCGTGGGCACCCCAGACTGTGTGCGAGCTATCCTTTGGAGAATCTCTTAGTTTTGAAGCTTCATCTCTTAGTGTGCGTGATGTCTTACTTTTGAAGCTTTTGTAAGTAGGTGAGAAGCTCACACTGAGTGATTTCCTTCGCTGCTAGTAATTCTGTTCTGCAACTGACACTATGGTAAATGTTGAGAGTTAGGACATCAATTCATTAACATGCACTGAGTCCATTTGTTGTTAACAGCTCACAGGATTGATGCAGATGGCTAACCTGGTGAGAAAACAGGGAGGCACGTATGGTACCTGAATCAACAGAAGCTGCAAAACCTCCCCCCCGGATTCTACAAGTTTGAAAGAGAAACAGAGATGTTTTTATTTTTATGATCCATATAGAAGGCGGTGTCATACCAATTATGCGAAGGGATAACGTGAGAGAACCTGCTTTTACAGGTACCTCCAAGGCAATACTGCCCTGGATTATGGATTGGCAACCAATAGAAACATGGCTGAGAACATACTGCATGCCCACCACCTGCCTGGGAGGTGTGATGGGTAGAGCCCCAGCTGCCATGTACCCAAGCCCTTCCTGCTGTGTGTTAACTGCAGCTCATTTGTCCAGTCTTCTCTTACTCTCAGCAAGATGGGAATTGGAGACGGACTCTTCACTCTCACTTTCCCTTAAGATCACAGGGTTGGGGTTAAGTTCTCCTGAACTGAGAACAAATGGCTGTTTTAACCCTGTCTGCTCCTAGGGGGAAAGTGAAGTTTGTGGCCACTTCTCAGAATCCATTCGATCAATCCTGTTACTGGACAGAGGATGTGGTGTTCATCCCACTTGTTTATTTAAAATGGTCTTTTTGTTTAAGGACAAGTATGTTTGGAATGAAGTTCTCTGCTTTTCCTAATCACGTGGACCTTTTTCAGCATTTGTCCCAAGCACTATTACTGCTCCAGAGTAATTGGATTATAACCACTCTCTTGGTCAAAATAATTTTGCTGCTCCTCACCCAGGACTGCATTTTAAGTCTTTTGGGGGGTAAAGTGAATTAGATTAACTGAACAGTTCTGTGCCTGCTGCTGCAACTCTTCCCATCTGATTTTATACTGGGAAAACAGGGAAATGAAGTTGATACAAGTAAGCCAGACCAAAGTGTAGGTATGTGCCAAATATGAGGAAGAACTGAAAACTTCAAAACAGTGACTGCCACCAATCCTAGTGGCTAGATTCCCTGAACAGCTTTCACATACAAACCCTGCTTGATTTACCTTATGTCCAGAACAGTGCACTTGCTCTATCAGCATAGCTGAAAGTAGCAGGACTGCTGGAAAGAGCACTGTTAAGTCTCTGGGATCGTAGTACTTTTAGATATGTATATAAAAGGGAGAATGGTGGCTGTTAGGCAGGCACTGAAATGTAGTTCTACTCTTAGCCAGTCCTGGGGGAGGGGAAGCCTCATCATTTATATGCGAGAGATTTAGGAAGAAGCATCTACTGGCAGAGGCATTGTTGCTTCTCGAGTTAATAACTTCCTGACACGCACCTTGGCCCCTTTTGTCTGCAGTGTAACTGCTGTCCTGTTCACTTATATCAGTGCTGTCTCCCCCTCGCAAGCATGACATCACATCAGGGAATTTCATTTGCAATAGTCCTTGTTCAAGAGCAGGTTTATCACAGCTATTATAGGAAAGCTGATAATTAACTTGCCCCTACTTGCTCCTACAATCAAGTGCTGCTTCCCATTTTTTATCAGAAAAATCTAATCTTTTTATGTGTGAACGGCGCCTGTTCTAGGAATGCATTTCATTCACTACCATTTCACAGTGTTTTTTGATCTGAAGCTAAGTGTCAACTGTGCAATAAATTTTGTGTTGAATCAATTTTCAGTTGAAAATTGCCCAGTGTTTCCTTTGCTACAGATGGATCTTCCACATATCGATTACTTCATCTCATTTAGTTGGTGGAAGAGAAAACACTGTGTTGTCATAATAAACCTTCTTTGAAAGTTGTGGGTGGTGAGTTAGTTATATTTTTGTAAATATATAAGCTTGGTCCCTTTCAAATCTTTCAAGACCCACCTAGAATGGTGGTGTTTACAGTAAGTGATGATGTCTGGGTAGGATGCTCAAATGGGCATCACCTCTTCCTCCCACCCAATTTTTATTTTATTGCTATATCTTAGTCGGGGATGGAAGCTCTTCTTAAGGAGGCACTATCCCGTAGAAGAGTGTTGCTCTAACTACTGCCACAGAACTTCTTATAATAGGATTGCGTGGGAATTGAGTAAAGATTGCGATGCTAGAAATAGTAGGTACAAACTAGCAATAAAACATTTGCTGTTACTTATTTAAAAAAACCCCAACAGAGCAGCTAAAATCCAGCCACAGAATAAAGATGAGACATTAAACAGCAATTCATGAATTTTACAGAAGAATAAAATTCACCCTCTCACTGACATTTTCCTGATGTAAACAGTTGTCCTACAGTTTTGCTGTCATGGAAATCTATTTTCTTATAAATTACACTGAAGGGGATGGGGAAAGACGAGCAGGTGCTGTGATTTACAAAAGTGGTTTCTGACCTTTGCAGTAGTTCTACAGCTTTGGAATTACTTCAGACCTTGAAAAGACCATATCTGGATGACCTGACACTAGCTTAACTACAGTTTCCACATCCCCAGGCTACATTTAGTGTGGGAACTAATTGCCAGAAAAGCTTCCAGTCTCTTCTCACACACCTAGATGCAACCGGCATTCTTGCTTAATATGAAGGTATTTAGATTACAAGGTTCAGGCAAGAAGTGCAGGTTGAGGGGATGTTATGGTGTACTTCTCAGCCAAGCTTCCTTCCCTTGTTCTTACTGGACCATGTTCATGTTGGGCAGTTATGATATATGTGAACTTTAAGCGGTGCTCGTCAGAATCCAGAGTGAGCAGGTTACTCACTTTCCAAGTACTCCAGCCAGGAGTTTCTTGAACCCTTGTTCTTGTTGGTAGATGAGTGTTCAGCAAGTCAGGCCCTGGTCCCTCCCAGGATGTTATCTAGCCTGGCATTGCTGCTCCTTGCTGCAGGCCTGGAGTCGCGCACACATCCTCTTCAGTTCCATGCTTTTAACCTTCAGGCGTTTTCGCAGTTTTTCATTTTCATCTAGTGCTTGGAAGAGTTTTTGTTTTAAGGAAGCACAGTCACTGACAGCATAGCTGTGATCTGAGGTCTGACCCAGGTGGTGTATCTGCACTGGAGGCCTGGACTGCAGCAGCAAACCCTCCACTTCTGTTGCCTTAGTTGTATTAATCTGAAAAGAACATAGGGAATGAAAGTGAGGGATGCAGAGCTCTAGCTAGCTGGGGGTTATGTGGGGAGACACTCATGACTAATGCATCTGATCCCTGGGCTGCTGGAGCCGCCCCTATTCTAGTGCTGGGATTCAAACTGACGCCTTCCCACTCGATACGGTACTTTGCCCTCTTCTCTCATTGGCTAACGTGTCTCCATACATCACAGGGCAGGCAAACATTCTCCCCATTGTACAGTAAGAGGATGCATTTTGCTCAACACCCAGCTAGTCAGTCACAGACCCAACAGCGTAATCCAGGTCTCCTGTCTGCCCAGTTCCCATAATGACCACTAGACACATTTTTCCAGGCAAGCTGCATAGTAGTTGTGCATTGGACAGACAAAGCTCAGCACTGAATTCTTTTCGCAAGGGACCCTCTGTGTTTGAAGTCAAATCCCTAGGAACGAGCAGTGGCTGAGCTCTTACCAACCTCATCACAAAGGGAATTAGTCTGGAAGCAAGGTCAAGCAAGTGAAGCTCAACAAGTGCCGGTAAGTACCATAGTAAGGCAGGAGTGCACAGGGCCTCTAGCGCCAGTTCTTCTCTCCATGAAATAAGTCACTCATTTCTGCTTCCCTGCCGCTGAAGTGCCTTGAGCTCAGCTGTGTGTTATTGTCAAAAATAGTGTATGGTTTTCCTTGAGGTGAGGTAAACTGGCTCTTACCTCTTCTATTGCTTCCTCTGTTCTACTGGGTTGGATCTCTTGGTGCAAAATGGTTTCTACAGCTAATCTCCTTCCATCCTCTGTCCCTGTCAAGTCCTAAAGAGACCAGGAGAATAACCCAAACTCAACAGCTCTTATTTTCAACATTACTATTATTAGAGCGTCAAGTGATCTCTGTTGTTGGTGTAAATGAGCCATGCAGTCCCTCCAGGCCTTCGTTTTTATTTCAACATAAAATACAAAAACAACAAATTAAAAATAGAAGCAACATGTTATTGGGACTGAAACTTTTAGTTTGTTCCCAAGTCAGACATCCAGTGAAAATACTAACTGCGCACAGTTTAGTATATTTAGACAAGTATCTGCAAAAGGCAATACTTCGGCTAGAAAGGGCCCCAACTCTTAGGCAGAATCAAGTGCTGTGCAACAAAATGCTGCATTGCCCTCCCCTCACGTTTTTACAAAAAGATGCAAAAAGGCTGGAAGGGACAAAGGTACCTTTGGCAATTGGGAATCCTGAGGATCGTGTAGAGGACTCTTCTCCTGCCTGATTTGCTATAGGAAGGACAAGGCCCTGAGATTAGTGTGACATTTCTGAGAATCCTAGCATTACCTGCTAAGTCTGCAACATTCTTCCTTTTCCAAGGAGAAAATACAGCAATAAAAAATTATCAAGAGTCTTCAAGACAATGTAGGATTGTATCCTTAAGCTTTACACAAAGGATTTAACAGAAACGTCCTATATTATTTGATTAAGCAAAATAGGAATAAGACTGGGTTAGGTGTATATGCATGAACACTTTGTTTATGTAAGGTCAGTTATAACTAACCAACTACCAATTCCAGGAGAACTAGTATCTCCTTCAGAACTGGTAGGATCTCTTCTTCCTTTCAGTTTTGCGAGAACTGGGGCTCTCTGCGTAATAGCTCAGTTCAGGCCCTTAGGTAGCCAAGAGTTACCATGTGTTTGTTAAAAGGAGAGTGGAACATGCTTCCCTCATATGTCAGTATTTTAAAGTGTACAGTTTGCAAGAATAGGTGTATGGGAATTCATGGAGGAAGACAGTCTTTAAGCAGTAAGCCATTTTTCAAAACCCTCTTTCTCTGGGTAGAAATCCAAACCTTTATTGCTGCAGCATATTGAAAAACTAGAAGGATTAAAATAACAGCTAAAGATGAATTATTTTTTAACAGAAGCAACTAGTACTTTCCCAGCAGCGCCAGTAGCCCCAGTGCATTTAACACACAACTAGATTTGATCACTCCCATACTCTACAGATACGGTATTTTTACTGCTGATTTCAGTGGAAATAGGGTTAGGTTAACAATCAAAGAGAGTTGATTTAGTCATAGACTCATAGAAGTGGAAGGGAAGTCCAGTGCCCTGCGCTCACAGAAGAACCAAGCACTATCCAGACCAGGGGTGGGCAATAATTTTTGACCGGGGGGAGAGGGAGACTCCAAGATTTTGGAAAGTGGTCAAGGGCTGCACTCTTCCATGATATTCATGGAGAAAGTGCAATGTCTGGAATGGAGGTTGGGCGCAGAAGGGAGCGGGCTGCAGGAGGGAGAGTGGGGCCTGGGAAGGAGTTTGGGTGAAGGAGGCAGTTGTGACCTGGGGCAGGGGATTGTGGTACAGGAGTTTGGGTTGTGACCTAAGGCAGCAGGGGATATAGTGCAAGAGGGAGCAGAATGTTTGGGTATGTGGAGTAGGGGGGCAGAGGGTTGGGGAAGGGAGGGGCTGGCCAGGAGACTTACCTGGGTGACTCAGGCATGCAGCCTGCTTCACCCCCACACAGGCTGCAGGACCATGTGCGTGTGTGAATTAAGGATGTTAACCAATGAGTAATTTAGTAATTGATGGAATTTCCATCAATAGTTGATAGTCACTCAGGCATGCAGCCTGCTTCACCCCCACACAGGCTGCAGGACCATGTGCGTGTGTGAATTAAGGATGTTAACCAATGAGTAATTTAGTAATTGATGGAATTTCCATCAATAGTTGATAGTCACTTCCACATTTCAAAGGAGGAATGTGGAACTCCGCATGCAGCCCGGGGCCAGAGGGAAGTCCCGCTGACTTCGGGCTCTGCGCTTTGAAATGCCATGCTGGAGCCTGGGATCAGCTGGGGACTGCCGCAGGGAGTCCAGGGTCAGCTAGGGAGTCCCCAAGCTGACCCCAGGCTCCACATAGCGCTGTCGCTTTGAAATGGCGTGGCGGCATTTGCAAGGGGCAGTGCTGCACAGCTGATCCCGGGCTCTGTGCAGTACTTCAAAGGGGCAGCACCACATGGAGCCCAGGATCTGCTCCGTGCGGCGCTGCTGCTTTGAAGTATCCTCTCTTGCCCCCCAGTTTGCTGCCTCTGATAGAGACAGCAAGAGGCAGGGGAATCAACTAGTCGACTCAACTACCCAATAAGTATTTACTTACTTGATAGTCAACTAGTCCTTCACATCCCTAGTGTAATAACTACCAGCCGGAGAGGCGGGGGATGTGGTGTTTCATGCCAGAAACCAGCCAAGGGGATTGTGCTGGGCAGGGGTGTGGGGAGGTGGGGGGCAGTGCCTTAACCCTTCCCCCTCATCCCCTCCAGGCTCAAAGTTTTGAAAGAGAAACGGCCCAGCAGCTGCTATTCTGAGCAGTGTGTGGGTGAGGTGAGGCAAGCAGGGAACCTGCCTGAGGCTCTCTGCTGCATCCATGGGCCAAATCCAGCCGGCAGGCTCTATTTTGCCCAGACATGATCTAGACCGTCCCTGACAGGTGTTTATCTAACCTGCTTTTAAATCTCTCCAACCTCCCTAAGCAAACAAATAGCAGGGAGCAGCATCTTCACTGAGCCAAGGGGCAAAGCAGTTGGGACACGGAGGCAGCTCACATGACCTGTGAAAAAGTGATGCTTTGGGAGAGGACAGGGCGAGCTCAGTTCTCTTGTGCCCATTGTACAGAAGGGGAAAGGAGGGACTGCAGTGCCCAATAAGTTGCCCATTTCATGGCCCTGCTCTAACCACTTGCCCCGCCCCCTCCCTGCAGCACGGCTAGGGCCCAGCTGGCGGCTCACCGAGACGGTGCAGGGGAAGGCGAAGAGGGTGGGCACGGCATTGGGCTTGAGGTTGGTGCGGTTGCCGAAGGCGCTGAAGCAGTCGGGCTGGAAGTGCTGTGAGCAGAGCACTGTATGCGAACTGGGCTGGAAATCGCCACGGCCAATATTCCCCACCCAGCGTGCTAGCAGCTCCGGCCGGCTGAACGGGAACCTGCAGGGGAGAGGCAAGGTGGAGAAGGGCCTGAGCCAAAGTAGCAAGGGAAGGGGTGGTACCCTGGTACCTGTGGCAGATGTGGGGGGGGGCAGGACTTTACTCCCTGTGGAAAGCACATGAAAGGAAGGGGGGCTAGTAACTGTGGCAGGCCTGAGCCAAAGTAGCAAGGGAAGGGGTGGTACCCTGGTACCTGTGGCAGATGTGGGGGGGGGCAGGACTTTACTCCCTGTGGAAAGCACATGAAAGGAAGGGGGGCTAGTAACTGTGGCAGGTGTGGGGGAGCGGTACCTCTGGAAGGTGAGAAGGGGAGGCGCCTGGTACCTG